TCGTATCAAGTCTATCAAAATACATTTATATAGTATAAAACAGGTGGCGTGGGGGAATTGGGTGAAGAGAGCTAAAAGGTATAAACCTCCAGTTATAAGATCCGTGCAGGGAAGGTCATGTAAACATGATGACTGCAGTTAGCACTGCTGTTTGGTGTATTTGAAAGCTGCGAGAGAGTAAATCCTACAAGTTTGCATCACGATGAAAAATTTTTTTCTTTTTTCAGTATCTATGTGAGATGATAGGTGTTAACTTATTGTGCAAATCATTGCATAGTATATGCAAGTCAAGTCATTGTATTGTACACCTCAAACCTATATGGTGCTGTATGTTGATTATATCAGAATAAAACTGGGGGAGGGAAGAAACGATTTCAGATGGCTCTTGAGATCTGAGTGGAAGTTCGCCATCAGTCAAAGCGAGGCTAAGAACCAGAAGCAGGGGAAGAATGTCACATGGCAGCCAAAGGGTGAAGGATGAATTAAGTACTACCTATGAGGAACAGTTATGAAATGGGGAATATTGCCAGAAAGGAACCCTCAGGGCAATGCCTAACTACCTTAGTCACTACGCTGAAGTGGAAATTCTTGGGAAACTCCTGCCTGAAATTGAACAGTGACAGTGTAGTGGCAGGAAGGCACAGAGCAGGATCTCTATGATCTGAGCAGACGGGGTGAAGGAGGAGTCCTGGGGACCTTGGTGGCTTTTTCAGGCTTTTATTGGGATTTTACCAGGTACACGGCAGGCAGGGGTGCCAGGGGGCTGGGAGCCTCCCAGCCCCCAGCAAATCTTCACTCTTCTGGGCTCTCCAGTATTCTCTCATGGTCTCTGCTTCTCTGCTGGTTCTCTTCCACTCTCTTGCTTGTTCTCCTTCTTGTGGTTCTGTTCCTCTAGTGTCCCGTGACCCCGCACTTATAGACCCAGTCTTAGCCCAGGGGTACCCACCTATGCATGCCCACACCCTACTCCAGGTGCCCGCCATCAGGCATGCATTCAGGACCGCAGAGATCCATCATTAATCCTAACGGCGGGAGGGCAGAAAAGCCTGGCAATTACTTACCTTATAGACAGGCTCCCAAATTCTATCCACTGGCATCATTCAACATCACGGTCCTTCACCGGGGGATCACCAGGTTTCAGAGCATCCGGGCATCTTAAAAGTTACACCTAGCAAAGTCACATATTTCTGACATTCAAATATCAGATGATTCATTCAATCAGATTTCACTCAACAAACACTATTGTGCACCCACAATACACTAAGAGCGGTTCAGGTTTAGGCTCAAAAGAGGTGAATAAAGCACAACCTTTGCTTTTACAGTTGTCAGCTGCTGTGCTGTGGTTGCCCCTGATTTGATCTCTCTCCACGTGGTCTTTTATCCCTTTGCCTATCCGAAACTTCTTAAAATGGCTACTGGCCTCAAAGAGGGCAAAATGGAAGTTGCAAGATCTCTTAAGGCATATGCCATGGATTCACATATCTCTTAACCTTATTCTGTTGGTTAAAGCAAGTCATTAGACCATCGCAGATTCAAGACACTGCAGAACAAGATGCACATCGTGATCCGGAATGCCGTGTATATAGCAGAGGGAAGAATTACCAGCAGTCATTTTTGTATGTGGTGAACCACACTTGAAACACTCTCAGACTGACAAATGTTCCATTTTTACAACACACTCCGCTGGCAAGACTATGAGCAGGGAAAACGCTCTTACACATTACTAGCGGCGGTGAAAATGATACAGTATGGAGAGACACTGCAACATCCAACAAAATCTCAAATGTCTTTACTGTTGGACCAATGTGATCATACTTAGAGAAATTTATAAATAGAATTATCCAACTGAGAGAGAGAAAAAGAATAGAAAAAAAAAATGAAGAGAACCTCAGGGCCTAGTAGGACACTGTCAAAAGGTGAGACATGATGTGAAGTTGGGACCCAAAATGAAATGAGAAAGAGAATGAGACAGAAAAATAATTTAGAAGTAATATATCGAAATTTCCCAAATTAGGTAAAAATGATAAATTCACAGATTCAGAAAGCTCAGTGAGACTCAAAGAGGACAAAAATAAAGAAAGTTTTGCCTGAGTGCATCATGATCAAACTATAAATTAAGATAAAGTGGAAAATCTTAAATGTAGTCAAAGAAGGCAAGGACATGAGACACAAGTTTCGTTCATTCCAAGGTCACCAAGACTCACGTGTCTTCTGCCTTCTGTTAAGCACGTCCATTTACATGCTCTCAGGCAAGAGCAAAGCATCATGGTCATTACACTGAAAACCAGAGGGATGTCTATAACCTCAATTAACTCTTTTCAAGAAAAACAAACTTTACCATTCTTTACAAAAATATAGAAATAGATAATAGTTACAACATAATTCTAAGTATTTATATCCCTGTTGAAAATGAGTTCAACATTCATTAAAATGGGCCTGTATCAAGAACAGATTAAGTGGAAAGCTTTGCTATTTAGAGTATTTTGAGAAAAGAAAGAAGGTACAAGGGAGTTAGGAGGAAAGGAGGGAGGTGGAAGAGGGAGATGTTTTAGAAACTCAGCACATTTGGGAAAACAAGCAAAGCTGGTGGCAACAGCTCTGTCCCTGGAGCCCTGGCGTAAGTGCTTCCCCCAGTGGGTTCTCACAAAAGAAGATCAACAGCCCAAATCCTGGCCATTTCGAAGTTGAATCTCATTGCAGATCTCTTTATGCATGTCATCTTCATTCCTGAGGACTCAGTCTAAGGCTGGTGAGTGAATTAGACATGAGAGCGTGGCTGGTTTCAGGATCAAGATTAGCACTGGGCTGGTGTTATATCTCAAGCAGGGCAGAAGAGACAGGACTCTTGAAAAAGATTGATATCGTGGACAAAGGCTGGTAAATGCCAAAGGCACAAATGTAGTTGGTTATAGCAGATGTGGAGAGTGCAATGAACTCCTGGGGGGAAGTGGACTAGGGTGCATGGACTAGGTACGTTACTAAAGGGCTGTAAATAAAGAGGAGAAATCCAGTAAATTGCAAGTGTCTTAGCACTTAGAATAGATAAGAAAACAAAACACATATTTATTAGACTACAGACCCCTCTTGGAAAAAAATATGAAAGGAGCTCCAAGAATGGCAGAGAACTGTTAACCCCTGTCGCTAGCCGAATATTAGAGGGAGCTTGAGAAGGAAGGCAGGGTATCTCAGCAGAAGTGAGAACTGGGAGACAATTTTTCCCCCCAGAAAGAAAACATAGGGGCACAAAGAGGGGGGACTGGAGTAAAAGAAATGATGTTAATGAGCATAAGATACATCTTAACCACTAATGTAGGTATTTTTTTAAAGATTTTATTTATTTATCCAAGAGCTGGGGTATAGATCAGAGGCGCTGGAGGGTGAGAGGATTCACTAGAGAGAGCGGGGAGCAGAACAGGCAGATCGACCAAAGACACTGCTGAGGAGAGCAGCAGGCGAGATAGGAGAGGTCTGCTGCGCCATGTGGGAATCTCTCTGGCTGGCCGGGAAACAAACCCATGCTGCAGAGGCTGTGGACAGCTTCACAGTGCGGCCCAACCTGCTGCACCACTGTGGAGGCCCTAATCTAGATATTTCAAGTTCCATCATTTAATATCCTCAGAAACTCCATGAAAAGGGTATTTATTTACAATTTAGTTATATTTCTGTATTCTGATCAAAATATTGGACCTCTCTTCTCCAAAAGCACCCTCTGAGTCCATCATACCTGGAACATTTTACTAAATCTATCTGCTTCCATAGCCACCACTCTCTCAAACCACTAGCCCAGTTAGGACTTGGGCAGATGGCATGATGCCTGAGAAATGGTCACTGTTCACAGTACACTTGCTGAAAGATTAAGCTAGTGAATGAAAAACGGTGGAATTACAAGTTACTTTCTACAGCAAAAGAATCTTCCAATTATCAAGACCTGCCATGCCCCCACTCCAGCAAGAATGTCCCTTTTTTCCCCAGTTTCAGTCATTTCTAAACTTAGCTCTCTCAAGTATGAATCTGAGGAGTTCCTCCTTCCAGGCACACCAGTCCTATCATTTTCCTTCTCAAAGATCTCCTGACCCTCTTCAAAAGTAAGCAAAAAGTATATGGTGAAGACTTCAAACTCTACTAATTATTGATGGTGAAACTTGGCAAGTGATTCCTATTCTCTTAAGTTTTTTCATTGATGTGAAATTGACAATATCCACTTCCTGGAGTGGATTCTACTTGCATGAAGAATATACTCACATGGCATATGTAATCCCTGGCAGGAAACAACGCTTAATAAACATTGGCTTCATTCACCTGTGACTGTATTACATTCAGATCCATACTATTCCTGGAATGTGACTGATCTTAAAGCATCCAATCAGCCAATCAATTACTGTTCCAATAACCCTCCACAGGTAACCTAGAGTGATTGTTGTACTAAAGCACTGACTTCAGGATAGCTGATGGCTACCCCTGTGCAGAGGATGGGGTCTAAGCTGTATCAAGTTGTGAACGAAATTATGAAATGGTAATCAGGGCCCTTGAAAATTAGAAAAATCTGCTTGGAAACATTTCATGATCATACTATGTTGATCTGTGTAGTCACCTTTTCTTGTATAGCTGCCCTTAGGTTACATTCTTTATGATAAACTAGTCAATTTTAAGATCAAGTTCAAGTATCATCATGTTACATCTTTCCCAGACAGGTATAATGATTTCCTCTGTGTATTCAAAATTCTCTGTTCAAAAGTGTGATACATACAATAATATCTCTTACTTTGGTTATTTGGCACTGAATGCAGTTGGCCTTGAGTTGTTGGGGGTACATACCATATCCTTTCATCTGAGCAATTCCCTGTTATTTGCATGTCCATAGGACATGAAGAGTATGAAATATGTAAAGAGAACCTGATGTGTTCACAAATAATATTAGTATAACTCTCTTAAAAATATATTTTTTAAATATGTATTTTCCTCTCTATGAATAGAAGTGAGGTGCCACATCTTCTCTAGATATGACTACCTTAAACCACACTGGTGTGAGCCACATGATCTTCTATTTGCTGGGCATCCCTGGCCTGGAGAACCAGCACAAGTGGATTTCCATACCCTTCTTCACGTCCTACGTCATTGCTCTGCTAGGGAATAGCCTGCTCATCTGCATCATCCTCACGAAGCGCAGTCTCCATGAGCCCATGTACCTCTTCCTCTGCATGCTGGCTGGAGCAGACGTCGTCCTCTCCACGTGCACAGTGCCTCAGGCCTTGGCCATCTTCTGGTTCCAGGCTGGGGTGATCTCCCTGGATCGCTGCATCACTCAGCTCTTCGTCTTGCACTCCACCTTCATCTCAGAGTCGGGGATCTTGCTGGTGATGGCATTTGACCGCTACATTGCCATCTGCTACCCCCTGAGATACACAACTATTCTCACACACTCACTGATTGGGAAAATTGGTATCTTCATCTTTCTGAGAAGTTATGGTACAATTTTTCCCATAATATTTCTTCTGAAAAGATTGACTTTCTGCCAAAATAATATTATCCCACATACCTTTTGTGAACACATTGGCTTGGCCAAATATGCTTGTAATGACATTCGAGTGAATATCTGGTATGGGTTTACCGTCCTCATATCAACAGTGGTTCTAGATCTTGTGCTAATTTTTGTTTCCTATGTGCTGATTCTCCGTGCTGTGTTCCACATCCCATCCCAGGATGCTCGCCACAAAGCTCTCAACACATGTGGCTCCCATGTCTGTGTCATCATCCTCTTTTATGGCCCTGGGATCTTCACGACCCTTACTCAGCGGTTTGGACGCCACATTCCCCCTCATGTCCACATCTTGTTGGCTAATGTCTGCATTCTGGCTCCACCCATGATGAACCCCATCATTTATGGGATCAAGACCAAGCAAATTCAGGAGCAGGTGGTTCACATATTATTTGAAAAGCAGAAATCACTTTGGTAGAAGAACTGAGTTTTCAGAATTTCTATCCGTGAAGTGATCTGTAGAAACAGTGGGTGGAAGGGGTCAGCCAAAACACTAAGAAATAACTCCTCCAGGGCCTCCCCTGGTGGCGCAGCGGTTGAGCTCTGGGCTGCAAAACTGCCCCCAGCCTCTGCAGCGCCGGTTTGATCCACAGTCCCCGGCGAGGGTCCCACATGGCGCACAGGCCTCTCCTGCCGCGCCCGCTGCTCCCCTCAGCAGTGTACTTCGTTGTCTGCTCTGATGAATTCTCTCACCCTTCCGCGTTTCTGACTGTACCCAATGCTTGTATAAATAAATAAATAAATCTTAAAAAAAAAAAAAAAGAACTTCACACATTCTTCCCCCCAGTCACAGGCTTGCGCCTCCACATTGCTTGATTCTTCGCTTCCACACCCACCACCTGAGGGGCAGTGCCTCATTGTACCTTGTATGACAGCATCCCACCCACACCACAGCCTCCATGCATTTCTCTCCACCCACCCATTGTTTAGTGAGGGCATGAATCTCCTCAGTTTCCAATCTGGTGCAGTCCATGTTGGTCTCTGATATCCAAGAGTGCTCCATTTTTGCCCTGTCACTGTACCCTCTGAGTTTAATGCCTTTCTGGAAAACTTTCAGATTATCCTCCTGGGAGTAAAACAAGGAATCTGCTCTGACATCTTGATCCCAATCATGTTTTTATGATTGCTTTTGAGTCTCTGTCAGATAATTCCAAACATGAGTTATCTCCATGGTGGTATCTATTTTCTTTTATTATTCAATGTATAATTATCCTGGAAAGCCAAATGATTTTTATTGTATTCTGGACACTTTGGGTATTATGTTATGAGACTCTGAAATCTATTTAATCTTCTATTTAGGAGGAATAGTAGATAGGTCTGGAGGAGGGTATATGTTCAGATCCTGCTAGGCCCTATGAAAACCGCTGAGCAAAGTGAAAGATTAACTTGCAGCACTTTACTCATTGCACACGGGTACAAGGGAAATTCAGCACCCCTCTCACTCCACTAACACTTTCCTGGTAAAGGTGGAATATGACTCAAGAGGGGATATAGCTTAGCTCCTGAGTCTTGTTACCACATGGAAAAGGATGCGGAGTGCTGAACCATGTTATTCCATTGCTTTACAACAGTAGCAGACACTAAATCCATCAACTGGCTCTACTGTCACAAGATAGGAGGAGGGAGGCAGAGTGCTCATGAGCCCAGCCTCCTGATACCTCTTACTGCCTTGTTGATGCTGAGAAGGATAGAGGCTCAGTTCTGACTGAGCCATCTGATGGAGGGGGAATGACAATGGGGTGCAGTAGAGCCCCCCTCTCACCATCTCCTTTATCCTCGGTGGGGATGAAGTCTCAGCTTCTTGCCAGGTACTGCTGACACCAGGAAGTGGGAGGAAGTGGAGTGTCAGCTAGGCCTGCCTCACACCTTCTTACTGAGCAGCAGTGATAGAGGACAGAGGTGATGGCTCACCTGCCCATTCAGTCCAGTTGGCAAAGGATCCCTACAAGTTTACAAAGCACCACTGGACAAGTCACAAATCTACTGGGTTATCCCAGCAGAATGAAAAGTGCTATCTGGGAGGAGACAGTGAGGAGATTCTGGGCATGAGGACCGCTTTAGCTTTCTGTGTGTCAGAGAGTCCTGATCCCTCCAGAGAAGGTTCTAATAATACATTGGCAATAGAGCCTGATTACCGTAAACACTGGAGCCATCAGAAGGAATTTGCAGCCCTATCTGATTATTCATACTACTCTTTCAACATTCGTCAATGTTTCTTCATTACACATTTTCATTTAAATGCATTAAAAAGTTCCTTTTATCATGTTTGTGAGTCCATCTTATTTCTCAATTTTTCACATATTTGAAATCAATCTGTGAAACATCTTATACCCTATTATTTTCACATAGATTTCTGAAAAGTATTTTATTATATTTTAAATAACTTTTACTAGCTGCAAATTAAAGCACTTTAAAATACTTTTCCAAGAAGTAACACTCTTTGTAAATATTTTCTCATCTTATCTATCTTTTAATTTTAGTTACATAGGAGGAACTAAACTTTATATAGTCAAATCACCAGGCTTTTTCTATGGGTGTTTCCCTTTGTTTTTAGCTTGAAAAGTTGTTCTAAGATAAGTCCATTACTTACTCTTTCTTACTCCACTTATTTTAGATTTTTAACATTTCTATTTAGTAAGGTGAAAGGTTAATAATATATGCCCTTTGGGGCCTCTCTAGTGGTGCAGGGGTTAAAGACACGGCACTGTCAAGCTGTTGGTAGCCACTGCAGCACGCGTTTGGTCCCTGGCCAGGGAGCTACCCACATGGCACAGCAGACCTCTCCTGACTCACCCGCTGCTCCCCTCAGCAGTGTATTTCAGTCAATCTGCCTCTTCTGTTCCCCCCACGGGCTCTGGTCTGTACCCCAGTTCTTGTATGCATAAATAAATAAATATTTTTTAAAAGGAACAATTAAATTGTTGACTAACATTGTGTAATTAACAAATATCAGAGAATTAATTGAATTCACCCTGACAGGATTGGTGGAGTAAAATTAATTTGGAAATGCCTGATATTTTTAAAAATCATAATTGTTTTGAAGACAAATACATAGTTATAAGAAGCACACTATACAAGATAATTAAGACATTAAATAATGTTTTTGTTTTGTTGATATAATGAAAATAATGTAACACAGGAGAAAAATAGAATTCTGAATTAAAATATCTTTGGTTCATGAGTTTAATCTTTATTTTAAAAAATGCTAAGATAGGTTGGTTTCTTTATTTTGTGTATATGCTCCATTCAGATGAGAATCAAAAGAAAGGGTCTCATCTCGTAATATATAAATGCTAATACAAGTTGGGAGAAGTCTTAAAATCCTGAGTTCAGTGAAAGAATAATGAAAAATCTATGACCATTTTTATATTTAGATGAAAATGACATAAATAATATCCTTGACCCCAAAACATAAATAGTTATTTTCTTCAGGCTAAATGTCTTTACTTTGTCTTTTCACATTGTCAAGGCAAGCATCAGCCAGCCTCTCAAAACTTTTGTTCTGGGTATGAAGGAGTAGAACATGGCATAATAATATTTCCATTGTGGAAACTAGAAAGAGACAAATAAATCACAAACATCATCTATTAAGCCATCAGTGAACTAGATGAACAAAATAGAGAAAAAGGAGAACTAGTCAGAAGCTGACAATTCTAATCACATTTTATCTCTGGAATTACTGATTCTGGAACGGGGCTAAGGATGAATGTTGGTCCAGGACGAAGGCCTTTCCTGGGGGACAGAGAAGCCAGAGAATTCTTTGTGGCCAGGACTGCAGTAAAAATTTCAAAATTGGGAAATTTGAAATACACAGATTTATTTTTCCTATGACACATTTGCCGACTACACTGGCTACTCTTGATACTAGAGAATGAGGCCAAAAGATTCTAAAGGGCATTTTGCAGCAGGGACCCTTCTTGCTGGAGACTGTGTGAACCCAGCAGAAGGCTCACCGAGGAGACAGAGGTTAAGCTGGGAGGCTTGCCCACACCGGGCACCTTCTAGCCTGCAGTTCCAGCCCAGAGGGGAGCAGCACCCACCGCTGGGGCAGACTGGGCGTGCAGGGGAGCTCGTTCCCGCATCGCCATTTTGCAGCAGGGACCTTTCTTGCTGGAGACTGTGTGAACCCAGCAGAAGGCTCACCAAGGAGACAGAGGTAAGCTGGGAGGCTTGCCCATGCTGGGTGCCTTCTAGCCTGCAGTTCCAGCCCAGAGGGGAGCAGCACCCACCGCTGGGGCAGACCGGGCGTGCAGGGGAGCGCGTCGCCGGCACCGGCATTTTGCAGCAGGGACCCTTCTTGCTGGAGACTGTGAACCCAGCAGAAGGCTCACCGAGGAGACAGAGGTTAAGCTGGGAGGCTTGCCCACACCGGGCACCTTCTAGCCTGCAGTTCCAGCCCAGAGGGGAGCAGCACCCACCGCTGGGGCAGACCAGGCGTGCAGGGGAGCGCGTCGCCGGCACCGGCATTTTGCAGCAGGGACCCTTCTTGCTGGAGACTGTGTGAACCCAGCAGAAGGCTCACCGAGGAGACAGAGCAGGGACCTGTCTTTGCTGGAGACTTGTGAACCCAGCAGAAGTTCCCCAGAGGAGCCAGTGGTGAGCTGGGAAGGTCACCCAAGATGCCGGCCAGTACCAGCAACACAGTGTCACAAGGAATAAGGCAAATTAGAAAACAGGCAGTAGGGAGTAGAAAAACAACATGCAACCCAGCAACTCCTCAGCAAAATAGCACACCACAAAAAGAAAACCATCTACCAGATTGCAACTACAGTAACTTGGAAGAACTTCTGAGCCTTCCAGATAGAGAATTTAAAATTGCTGTGATTAAAAAACTGACAGAAGTCATAAAGGAAAACAATGATAAGGGGAAAATAATTAATGACCAGAAGAATGAAATTGAGTCCCTAAAGAGGGAAGTAAAAGAAATGCAGGAGATCAAAGAATTAATGGAGACGCTAAAGAACTCTAGGAAAAGCAGTGAAAGCAGAATAGATGAAATGGAAGAACGAATAAGTACTCTTGAAGACACAGAAATAAAAAGAACTAAAACAGAAAAGGAAGGAGAAGTACGAAGGAAAAAGACCGAAGAAAGACTTCGGGAACTATCTGACTCCATGAGGAAAGGAAATATAAGAGTTATAGGAATCCCAGAAGGAGAGGAGAGAGATGTAGGAACAGAGAAAATATTCATGGATATAATTGAAGAGAACTTCCCAAACACTAAGAAGGATCTGAAAATTGATATACAAGAAGCAAGAAGAACACCAAACTTCCATGACGAAAGGAAAAATACAGCAAGACACATAATAGTAAAGCTCCCAAGAATCCAAGACAAAGAAAAAATAATGAAACTAACAAGAGGGAAGAAACAGATAACATTCAAAGGGAAACCAATCAGACTGACATCAGACTTCTCTG